GGTGACCCTGCTTCGGCAGGGGGGTTGGACTGGGTGACCCACAGAGGTCCCTTCCAACCCCTACTATTCTGTGATTCTGTGATTCTGCTGGAGGGGAGCTTGATGGGAGGCCTCATTCCCCGGGCTGAGCAAATAGTGCTGATTCCAGGAACATACTAAGAAAATGAAAAAAGAATTAAAAAAAAAAAACCAAGCCTCCCCAAACCCAGGGAGGAAACATCACAGAAGATTAAAGAGGAAAAAAGAAAACCAAGAGAGTAGGAGAGGAAGCGTGCCTGATTTCAAGATGAATCAAAATGTTCTTCAGAATGAAAACCATAAAGCTTTTGCTTCCTCTTAATGGCAAAGAATTAACCAGTTAACGAGCCCTAGGAGATGCAATAAACCTTTCAACCCAGCTGAGAGATGCTCAGGAACGAGTTGAGAAGAGTTCCTGTAGCTGGAGATGAAACGCCCTCGGGTCTCCTGTGTCGGTGCGTCCGCCTTTCCAGCCCTCTGCACTCCTGGAGCCGCCCGAGGTGTGGGACGAGGGGAGGGGACGAGGGAGGGTGGCTGGCTCTGGAGCGTTGCAGCGTGGCACCCGCAGGGGGTTTGGGAGGCTGCGGCAGCGGCTTCGCTGCGGAGGGGTCGGCTGGAGGAGACCGCGTTGCTCAGGGGAGGAGTGAAACCAGCAGCGAGTGTTCGTGCGCCTGTATGCTTGCCTGGGAACATGGAGCTGGAAAGGGCCGTGTGCTGGGCTGAATCAACACCGATTCCGGGCGCAGAGGGTCGCTGGGGCTGGAGGAACTCCCCTCCGTGCGCCGTTCCCAGAGTGGCCTGCTCGTGGCGGCTGTCAGAGCCTTTATGGCTCTTAATACAAACCACCTGCCTCATCAAGTCTGGTTGTTCTAATTGCAGGAAACCGCAGTAATTAAGTAACATTAATAGAATTTTAGCGTAGGTGCTACTGCATCCTGTAAGAAGAAATCTCCATTAGTTTCCCGCCGGGGTGCAGCTGAGACACCTTTCTGCTTCAGACCTGGTCGTTAGTTTGGGATCTGGAAGCCAGGACCTGAATGCTGAGAAGTTCAGCTCTGCTGCAGGGGAGGGATTTGTGCAGCAGGCAGAGGTGGGTACAGAATCACAGAATGTTTGGGGTTGGAAGGGCCCTCTGTGGGTCATCTAGTCCAACCCCCCTGCCGAAGCAGGGTCACCTACAGTAGGCTGTAGAGGACCTTGTCCAGGCGGATCTTGAATATCTCCAGAAAAGTCCCAATGTGAACCCCCTGCCACTGTAGGTGGTGGTCTGGGCACCGTTTGCATTCGCAAAATTCGTTCTTAGCTTGGGCTGTCATCCTGCCATTTCACTCTGGTGGTAACAGACACTGTTCCCTTCATCCGTGTGCATATACGTATATATAAATGTATATTTAGCTAAAGGGCTTGGGATTCAAAGGGGAGAGGGAGGTTAAACACGCACATAATTGGCAGGTGTCATCGTTGTTGAAAAATCAAGTCACCGTTCCAGCAAAGGGCCTTCAGGTATAATTACAGCCCTGCTTGAATTGCAGTCGCTTCTCCAACCATGCAGAATTCCCCCAAAATATCTGTGCTGCTGGCATGATATATTTAGCTTCAAGAACAGCTCGTCCTGGTAACCAGATTAGGAAATGCGTAGAACAAGCCCTCTAGAATGCTGTCAGTGTATGTTAATTACTGTAACTCTGCCCGCTTGAGGAGCGTGGTGTTGGCGCTGCGTCCCGCACCTTGGCCCGACTCGCAGTGTCGCGGCAGGGTGCTGCGTTTTTTTTTGCGGGCGGCTGGCCGGGAAGCCGCGGAGCTGGCTGGGCAGGAATTAGGCAGGCAGGGAACACGCTGTTTGTTTATTTGCTGATTTATTTCAGAATAATGACCTATTTTCAGAATAATGACCTATTTTCAGAATAATGATTGGGTGCTACAAGTTTCAAGGGGACACCTGCTGAGATTCCAGGACGGAGCATCACAGCCTTGGGGATTTTGCAGCTGAGCGTTAGCAGATCTTGCCACAACACTAAAACTGCACCAGTTTATCCCTGGGTCAGTAGTGCAACACGAAACATCCTTTAGCACTTTTGGGCAGCTGCTGGAGTATGATAGAACTCCTTTGCTGTCCACTGAGAGCCTTAAAAACTCTCTTCTTCAAGACACGTTGAATCTTTTTGTGTTAAGGGGTAAGCGTTGACCTGGAAAAATGTATTTTGAGACGGTACTGGAGCGTAGGGCCTGCTCTGTTCTGGGACGCGTAGCCGGTGGAGAATATCTGAGTATTTAACTCCCAAGGGCTGTGACTTTTCTCCAGCGGGGTGGGTGTTTGCCACAAGCCGGAAAAAAAGCAGCGAAGCGGCTGGGGAGGGGAAAGCACGGAGCGTCTAAGTTCAGCGGCGCTTAGGAGAACTGACTGGCAGATGGCATTTGCTGCTTGGTGGAAGGGGATTTGCCACGTGACCTGTTCAGAATCTGTGTCACATGGCAAATTGATCAGACCTGGCTTCTGATGTGAGAATAAATCTAGATCGTCGTAGGAGCTCTAGCAAAAAAAGGTGGTTTGCAGAGGAACCCACAAGGATCTGAGCTTTTTCCGTGAAGATTTGACAAGAGCTCAGTCCTCATTTTCATTCTGTGTTCAGGGCAGTTGTATCTCCCTTCTATAAATAAAGTGATTTGCTCCTCCTTAAGCTTACGAGGATGGACAGATAGCTCCGGCAGCGGATGCTGCAGGAGGCTGAGAAGTCGAGTGGAAGGGATCGGTTGGTGAAGCGGCTTGAATATTAACTTGACACCTAATTATATCCTCTGGGCTGATTTTTTCCATTCTGTCATACCCCGGTCTGCCTGCAGTTTCTGCGAGTGCGGTACGCTGTGGAGCTGTCGGAATCCCCTCGCGCTCCGGCAGGCACTGGGGATGAAATTATCAGTTGTAAAAACTCCTGGCCCTGGCGCAGAAAGTAGCATCTCCTTAGTGTTTGTATTTGCATAAAGCAGGCAGCATAGGTTAATCCTATATAGATTTGAAAACAAAGGAAGCCTTTGGCCAAAGAGAGTGTTATTTACTCAATTTTATAGCTCTACTGGAATGGCATTTAACACCTCAGTTCTTGTGGGAGTTGATGGGACCTGCACCGTCTCTGCTTGACCAGCATTGACTTTTTTTCCAACCTGATTCATATCCTGGCATCTCTTCAAAGCAAAGAACACCTCTGACCAGTTTCCACACCCGCTCCTGAAGTTAAATTTCTTACAGGCTTTCTCCTCTAAGGAAGAACTAAAGCAGTAGCCTGGCTGGGCTTAGTTTATGGCGTCTGACAAGACCACAAACTGAGCTAGGACTTTAACGTGCTCAACTGACCAACACCCCTTGTTCTTCAGTCCCCCAGGTCCTTAAGAGCTGCACTGAATTCATCGAGAAGCATGGCATTGTGGACGGGATATACCGGCTGTCGGGGATTGCCTCCAACATCCAGAAGCTCCGGTAAGGGCGCCGGGTTC